GTATTATATACAAGATAGATAGATAGATAGATAGATAGATAGATAGATAGATAGATAGATCATATATGTGCATGTGTGTAAAAAATGCAGACAGAAACGCTAGATAGAATACAATATTATAATTTTCCTTTCAAAATAATCGTAAACATAATCGAAACAGGAATATTGGAATCTTCGAGCGACGAACGAACTTCTGATTTTATGGTTGAAAATCATAAAATAACTTTGAATAATTTTCCCATGAATAAATAAACATTATTTTACAGGATGCCATTTTTTAATTCCATGTCAGTTTGTTTTATGTGAAAGATTCTTCTAGACGATTATTGCAAACAGTCAGGCACAAACCCTAGAAAAAACATATTTGCTTTCGAATTGCAAATATTTCCTAGTTTTTGTTTATTTAGTAATTTTCTTAATCTGTTTTTATTTTTAATATTTTGTAATTGTATTTCTTTTTGTATTTGCTTTATTTTTTATTTGGCTTTTTTTTTAACCTTTACTTCATTATTTTTGATTCTTAATAGAAACTAGTTAATAAAATTTTGTTAACCTCTTCCCACCCAACTGCATAATGAACACGCTATTCTGCAATACGCTTTCCACATTATCTTAGTATTTAACTGCCACTCCACGGTGGCAGGGTGTGACACAAGGTCAGTTTAATATGGAGAACACGTAGGCATATACCCGTACCAGGTATAAAATAGCTCAGAATCTGCAACCGTCAGTTGAAATGACATCGGTAATACTAACGATTCCTGAGTGCACCGAGGGAGGTACTGCGGCAGGAAATTGTCCTCTGGAGCAAATTCTTTCTCCGTAAAATTGGCAGTTGTTCTGTGTCCGCAGACAAAGACACAACTAACTTGCGTTCTGTCCGGAGGTGATAAAATGTAGTTTTCTCGTCGGAAGACAGATACTATACTTTGATCACAGGCCGATTGCCAGTGAGTTAGACACGTTATATTTATTTATTTATTTAATACATAAATATATGTATTTGTGGATCAAGGTCGAAATGGAAGTCAAGAAAGGCTGATGGACATTGCCTATCCTGCTCCTAGCTAATCCGACTCACGACCCATTCATTCCAACAATTGGGGCCATCACCATAAGAGCCCTTCCTTCCTCCGTCAATCCCAGTATGTAAAATAATACTATATTTTCCCAGGTGACCTAATAAAAAAAGCCATTCTGTTTATAAAAATAATAATACTATATATTCACAGGTGACCTAATAAAAAAAAGCCATTCTGATTATAAAATTAATAATAATACATTTTCACAGGTGACCTAATAAAAAAAGCCATTCTGATTATAAAAATAATAATACTACATTTTCACAGATGACCTAATAAAAAAAGGCCATTCTGTTTATAAAAAATAATAATACTACATTTTGACTGGTGACCTAAAAAAAGCCATTTTGATTATAAAAATAATAATACTTTATTTTCACAGGTGACCTAATTAAAAAAGCCATTCTGATTATAAAAATAATACAATATTTTCACAGATGACCTAATAAAAAAAGCCATTCCGATTATAAAAAAAAATAATACTACATTTTCACAGGTGACCTAATAAAAAAGCCATTCTGATTATAAAAATAATAATACTACATTTTCACAAGTGACCTAATAAAAAAGCCATTCTGATTATAAAAATAATAATAATACTATATTTTCACAGATGACCTAATAAAAATAAGCCATTCTGATTATAAAAAAAAATAATAATACTACATTTTCACTGGTGACCTAATAAAAAAAAGTCGTTCTGATTATAAAAAATAATAATACTACATTTTCACAGGTGACCTAATAAAAAAAATCCATTCTGATTATAAAAATAAATCTAACAATCAGGCATATATGCTAAGACCGTTATCGAGAGGTAGCACATTCCTGGCCAATCGTCAGGCAAGCGAAAACACGACGCGACTCCCTCCACTAAAACCCGAAACAATCTCCCCATTCTGGTCGTGAAAGGTTATAAATGACTAACACGTAAGGCATATCTACTCTCTTTCGATGAAACATTCTCGCACAGGTCTTACGAAGGCACTCAGCTGGAAAGGTAAGTCTATGAAAGGCAACTCTAAGACTTTCTACTTATAAATGATCTTCCGTAGGCGCAGAAGAAGCGGCCTTTAAGCGTGTCAGTGAGTCGCCAATGACAGCATTCTCAGCTCTCCATGACACGGGCGCTGGATACAAAAATCCCTGCGTAGCATCGACCTACCTCCCACTTCGTGCGCCTTCTGACGACCATCTGAAAGAGGATGTACCTACAACAGGTAACGGATTTGGGGTGGGGGAAATGTACACGCTACACACCTCACAAGGGAACGTCAGTTCAACTTAAGGAAGCTGGAATTTCGACGCCTTTCCAAGATCCCAGCCACACGTCGGAAGTCTTGTTGCGGTTAACCTTGACCCCTCTTAAACGCTAGCTCCAACCTTCCCATGGAGGTTAGTTCCGCATAGGGCCGGATTTCATGCCCTATATTTCAGTCTCCAGCACCAGAAAATAAAATAGTGGCAACAGCGGAGAACAATGACGAACTGACTGAGACAGTGTCAAGCCCCACCACCCCTTCCGTTTACATCAGTGTGTTGGACGGGGGGGGATACAACGGGTTAATCAGAAGTTGTGTTTGAATCAAAGTGATGTACCAAATTGATCATCGCGACGTTTTTGTCGTCTTTTACAGCCACGATCATGGTGTGGATCAGATGCAGGTTACTCTGAATTGGCCGGCCTTTCACAGTACAAGTGTGCTCCGTTCTCCACAGAATCACGGAAACCGACTAATCCGTCAGGATCTTAGATCAATCGTTAAATCCGTGTTTAGCCGTCCAGATCCATGCGTATCCGTCTTTAACGGAGTGAGAAAAAAAACCTGGAGATCCAATCGGGGACAGATCTCTGACAGAACCAGTTGTTGTACACAGATGTCGAGAGAGGTACACAGATGTGTAACCGCCTCAAGAGAAATTCGTAAGGCAGAAAACCAAGTACCGGGAAATTGTTTCTGTGAATCTTTTCGAAAGTTTCGTGGATATCAGCCCAACAGCCATCCGCTTCAGTTGACTAGAGTCAAGAAAAGTCAGTTAAATAGCTGTGAAACTCTTGCTCATAGAGACCAGGCTCGTACGTAAAACGTAAAATATATATATATATATATATATATATATATATATATATATATATATATATATATATATTTAGATAGTCGGACTATTGTCCTCATCTTTGTCGCCATATTTGTCACAACGTTTCGGCCGTTGTGAGCTCCGGCCTTCTTCAGGTGGTTGGAATTTCGAACTGAACCCTTTATTTTGATCACTGGGGTAGACTGTTCTAGTTCCACGTGCCATGTTTGATGGATGACAGTTATCAAGTTATCTCCTGCTAATTTTCCCTCTGAAAGTTCTCCACTGCCTTAACCAGGAATTGAGATAACTGATAACTAACATCCATCAAACATGGCACGTGGAACTAGAACAGTCTACCCCAGTGATCGAAATAAAGGGTTCAGTCCAAAATTCCAACCACCTGAAGAAGGCCGACTTACAACAACCGAAACGTGGTGACTTAAATATGGCGACAAAGATGAGGACAATAGTCCGACTAATGTAAATACTGTACATAATACCTCATCTCAGAAATATAGACATATATATATATATATATATATATATATATATATATATATATAGATAGATAGATAGATAGATAGACAGATATAAAGAAATAAACAGACAGATATAAATAGAAATATAGATATAAATAGAGATAGATAGATAGATAGATATAAATAGAGATAGATAGATAGATAGATAGATAGATAGATAGAAATAGACAGAGATAGGTATAAATATAGATAGATAGATAGATAGATAGATAGATAGATAGAAACAGACATAGATAGATAGATAGATAGACAGAGAGAGAGATAGAGAGAGAGATAGATATGAACAGACTGAGTAATAAACTAGCCAGATAGATAGATATATAATAGATAGAAAGTCAGACAAACAGAAACAGAGATAGATGTAAACAGACATAGATAGATAGATAGATAGATAGATAGATAGATAGATAGATAGATAGATAGATGTGTACAGACTGAGTAATAAACTAGCCAGATATATATGAATCGAGACTGCAGAGTGGGTGAGAGCGAGAGACAGAGAGAGAAATAGAGAGCAAGAAAGAGAGAGAGAGAGAGGAGGGAGAGAGATGAAGAAAACACGAAGAGCATAAAATATGAAAAAACTTTTTTTTTCTAAAATAAATGTAAAAAGAACGTGACGCACAAGACAGTAATGTCTTGTAATCTCCGAGCGAAGAACGAATAACTATTTGCTTTTATGTGCAAAATCATAAAAGTAAGACCTCCCACTCACGATATTTCACCGAATGTCATTCTAAAATCCAAGTCAGTCTGTTTATGCTGAATAATATTATTTTCGAGACAATTATTACCCACAGTCAGGCATCGTCCTAATAAAAAAAAATATTTTGAAACACACGCGCATGCGCGCGCTCACACACACACACACACACACCTACAGACACACAGATAGATAGACAAACACACACACACACACACACACACACAAACACAAACACAGAAAGAAAAAGTTAACGCTCCGAAATTTTCAATTGCTTTTACTTTTCTTCCTTTCTAATTTTTTTTATTCTTAACAGAAACGACTTCATAAAACTTCTTCAAAGAAAGTGGTGTATAACATTCCCAAACATATAACGAAAAACCTGTTTCCCCTTCCTCTTTCCACGTTATAACTATTTTAACAACCATCAAAAACTTCGTTGACAATTTTTTTTTTATCTGAAGACAAAAACAAAAATCATTCGATTGTTTGGAAAAATTAGTTTTTCAATGGACCCAATAAAGGTTGTAATTTCCTGTACAAAAAAGCCTTTGTTTGCGCACAGTAATCGAGATAACATTGTCATTAGTTTAAGAAAAAAAAATGACTGCCGTAAAACATTGTGAAAATATTTAACCAGAGCGTCTTCTTTGTCATAATTTCTATAATATTATTGTAGATTTTATTGTTATGATTCTGTTTTCGCTCTAAAAAATATTTTTCTTCCTTTGTAGGATTAGGCTGTTCCTCTTTGTCTTTTATATTCAATGCTGTTTTATATCTGGGTTTAGGTTGACTGTCGTTTCCTCTGTTTTGAATTACTTGCGTATCCATCAAAAGTTAGCTGAAGACATGTGACCATTATATACAATGCGATTAGATGTAATGGCGTTCGTTTCCTGAAACTAATATCTCCAGTTTGCTTTTTTTTTGTTTTTAATCCTTTCACCCCAAGCAAGGCAGGAAGCCACTAGGACGCAAGGGGTTACAGAAGATTTGGAGCAAGAGCAGATAGGAGTGATAGAGGAAAGGATGAGGAGAAGGGTAGTGGATAGATCAAGACAACTGGAGATATCGATTGACATTACATTTGAATATTTGGAGATTATAGCTCTCAGGGAAACAGGAATAGGGAAGGGAGTTCCACAGGCGAGAGGTGCGGGATATGAAGTCATTGGGCTAGAAGAGACGGCTACATTTAATAGTTTCGACAGTGAAAGGTTCAGCGCGGGATGCCAGCCTCGTAAGGTACTTGAATTCATGAAGTTCTGGAACCAGCGTATGCAGCTCTTCGAGCAATTACCATGAAAGTATTTGTAAAAAAGACAGAGAGAGGAGACGGCGCGTCTGTGAGAGAGAGCGACTGTAGACGAGATGCCAGATCAGGGCCAATTATATTGCATATCCGCTTCTGGAGCCTATCAAGAACCCCGAGGCAAACAGAAGGGGCTCCAGAGCATATAAAGCTTTAAAAATGGAATAAATATAGTTTATACACTTGTTCAGGAATCAAAAATCATTTTCGTTAATATTTGTTCTTTTCTCATAATTTGCTAAGAAGCTGAATATACGTGTCCAGAATTCGTCCCACTCGACTCCCACGTATCATCCTGTTTAGAGAATTCGCTATCGGTAAGAGGCTACTTGGAGACCCAAAACGACGCTTCAAGGATGAGTTGAAAACGATCCTGATGCAGGCCAAGATCGACCCTGAGACCTTGGAAACTCTTACTGCTAATCGGCCTCATTGGCATAGGACCATACGAGGAGGACCGAGACTTATGAGTCCAACCGTCAACACGAGGAGGATCTGCGACGTATTGTCAGTAGGGACCGATTCACCCAGCCGCCTCCATCACTCACACTCCTCTCTGAGTCCTGCTCTCGGCTCTTCAGGTGTAGTTTGGACTTCACACCCATCTCCGTCACGAGAAAGAGAAGAAGGAATGTCGATCGAATGCAAGTGGGTTCCGACGACCTGCAAGTGTCATATTTTACAAGCCTACGTACTTATATCTGCCACAGATATTCAATTATATCTATCTGATGCTACGTTTCCACTGCTTCGAAAACCTTTGAATTCCTTCAATGTCCAGTCCATGGGATCCGTAAAATCAGTCTCTAGAATTTCTATTATCACAAGTCTCTTCTTCATCTGTGATGAGATTGTCCGGCATTTACTGTCGTATAGAACGATTAGATATCAAATTGTTATGAATAACTTCGATCCAAATGTCGTCATTCGTAAGGGAAAACAAGACTTGAATGTCCTCTCTGTTGCTGCTATTGAGGAAATTAACGTTTATTACAATATTGTTTTTGTTTTTTCGTTCTCACTTATTCACTCACACGATCTTAATAAATCTTAAGGAACGTACAAAAAACACCCAGTAAAATCCGTCAGTAGAGGAGTAGTCAGAGTAAAGGGTAATTTTTTTATAATGTTAAATAAATTAGAAAAATATAACAAACAACAGTTTGTGTTAATCAGTCTTTAAATAGTGATCGAGTTTCACCCATTTTTATTGCAGACCTTGATGCGTATTGTCTTTGCCTTGGAAAATGTTTGCGATGTCTTTAATAAAAAATTACCTTGAGTCTTTTTTACTAGCGTCGCTCTCCTTATTGTGTATGTAGCTCACTGTTCGAAAAAGGTTGCCCCTGTCTGGTTTAGACATTTCTGAGTGATATGAGCGATATCCGTATGAAAGTCTTCATCTGACAATTTTATTTAAGAATATAAACCGAAAAAAAGTGTTGTTTTAACAAGGAAGCCTCCATCAATACGGGAAAAAAAGCGATAATTCTGGAATTCAGAAATATATTTTGCTGAGACATTGTATTAATCGAAAGATCAACCGACACTAACATTTTCTTTATGTTTCCATATGAGGGAAAGGCTAATGTTATCATTACAATTATAGAGATAACACTAGTATAAAATGTATTGATGTACGTCCAATAATTTTGGTTAGGGCATTTTTGTTATATTACCTTATAAAATTGGCCATCGATAAAATATATCTTATTTCTGCTTGTATATATAATTAAAACAGGTTTTTAAAATATATGTATCCAACTATAACTAGATATA